AATGGAAGAAATTTGTGTGGAACACAGCTCTGGTGGGGGTGTGGGGGGAATTTGCAGAGGGGCCTTTGAGACCTCAAGGTGCACCCAGTTGGAGCAGGGCTGGGAGGAAGGGTGTAGAGGAGGCAGCGGGCTGTCCTCGGGAGGGAGGACTCCCCTTCTGGGCCTAAGTGGGATTCCCTGACAGGGCAATGGAACTGATGTTACTCAAGTGCTCGGGCTCGCTGAGAGTGAGTAGGCAAAAGTTCTGCTCTGGGTAGGCAGCCAGGTGCCAGGGAGGGCAGAGACGGGCTCGGGCCACAGCCCACAGAATACCTGCGATGCAGAAGGGGACTTGGCGGCTCCAGATGCCTGGTCAGCAGCGAGTTCTCCAAGCACTTCCCAACTTGACGAGGCGGCAGTCCAACCTTTGCTCAGAATGCTAATGTGAGGCTCATTTGAGGCATCTCTTGCCACACAGCCACAGTCCAACTAGGTGTAAATTGTCCTGACCTTGGGGAGGCTCAGCTTCCCCTGACACCCAAGGTCTTTTTCCTCCTCAGATGCTGGGAGGACGTGAACTAAGACCCAGAGCCCCAGTTTTCCCAGACTAGGTCCATGACTACCCCAGTTTGATTCCTCTCCTTCTACACAGTTTGGGGGCAAAATGCATTTTGACAAGTTCTTTGAGAACTGTTGACTTCTAAAGTGTGTCCTCAGCACTTTCCTTCGGACAGAATGTTGTCTAATTCTTCCTCAACAATTTTTGGAGAAAACGATCATTTCAAGGGCAAAGATTTTGCCTTTTCCTGGTTAGAAAATTCTTCCTACTTTCTCTAATTTATTCTGCTGAAATTGATGTGCATTTTATTATTCTGTTCTCATGGGAAAGAACTGGTAAAGGTTGGTAAACACCGTTCTCTTCACGCGGTCAGGGACTTCCTCTAGCAGTTCTCTGGAGGCCAAGTCATTCAGACTCATGCTACTGACCGTGGCCTGAGGAGTGAAGGCCAGACACATTGGAGGTGTGTGCACATGCGTGTGTGTGTGCACATGCGCGTGCGAGGGTGTGTGTGAATCCACAAGCATGTTCCTGTATGCATATATGGCTGCCCAAAGAGGACAGTGCCCAGGAACAGCTGTGGCTTTGAAGCTGAATATTTCCAGGGATCCAAGAAGGACCGGCGTTCCTCAGACAAGCATTTGCCAGTGTCTAGGATGTACCTGCGGCCTTAAAGACCTGTCCGAAGCATGTGATGGAGAAGGAGCTTGGTGATCTCAGAAGAACTTGGTGAAGGACAAGAGTGTCATCTCCTTGAAGATTGTGAAAATAAGGTCAGAAAAAATAAGTGGCCCAGAAGCAGGCAACGTTTCTCCGAGATGGAGTCTCTGCTACCGCTATCCCCAAGCCCCGCTGTTCCAGTCTTGCCCTTGTGGTCTGGCTTGCAGCCTGGGTCTCCAGCCCTGCTGCAGCCATCATTCATAGTGATCTTGATGCCTGTCCTCCCAAGCCCCGCAAGCTCTCATGAAGTGGCCTGCCATCGTCATTGTCCTGCTGGCTGCCGGCCCTGGTGGTCGCTCTCTACACCAGGAACTGCAGGCCCTCTGTGATCTGAATTGTAAGCATCTCACCACCTTTATCACAGAGTCAGTTAACTATCCACAAACCGATCCTCTCCTGTCCAAGGAGCAGCTCTCCTGGAGCAGAGCCGCAACCGCCCAGCTGAGCACATTCCCTAGAGCCTTCTGCAGACGAAGAAACCAGTGGTTACCAACGGCCAGTGAGTGGAGATGGTGGGAATCACTTCTGGGCCGAGCATAGCTGTGAAGAAAGTCCTTTCTGTCCCCTCTCTGCTCTCTGTGTGCAGACAAGCACAGGGCGCTAGGCATGGCAGAACTGCCACGTGAGAAAGGCTTGTCCCTGAATTGCTGCACGGAGAAGCAGCCAGTCAACAGGCGAACTCGTTTCCAGATCTTTGATGGTAAAACAGAAATGTGTCGTTTCTGAGATTCGTTTCATCAACCCCACCTAATGCGAGCTCTGTTCCTTTGGCCTACTTCCTGTAAAGCGGCAGCATCAGCAGTTTTTTTTTTTCTTTTCAAAGTTTTATTGATAAACATATAGCAATGAGACAGTTTCGAATCAAATCAAGAGTACAGTTTCAACAAATAGCAGTTGTTATTATTATTGTTTGCACCACCAAAATCTTTGATCTTACCTCTTTTCCACTACCTGACCCCTCTGCCACACTGTCAGTTTCTTCCCTGTCCAATTGGGGGCCCATGGTCATCATGATGTTCTCTCGCAAACGCAGGTCCCCCAGTGCTCTTTCACTCTATCGTGTCCTCCTGAAACACTAAGTTCCCAGTCAGTGGGTGCCTGCGTATGCAGACACTGCAGGACCCACCGAGGCCCTGAAGGATGCCTGCTTGAACTGCAGGGACGCTAGCAGTGAGTGCTGCCTCCAGATGGTCCCTGATGATTCTGTTAGACCTCCTGTCGTGTTCCTCGATGGCCTGTTCTTCTGGGTGATGGATGCATGCGCTGCTCTTCATCTTTTTCTTTTTCTTTCTTTTTTTTTTTTTTTTTTTTTTTGCGGAACCGGGGATTGAACTTAGGCCCTTGCATTTGCCAGGGAAGTGCTTATTCCACTGAGCCATCTCCCTGGCCGGCATTGCTCTTCTAAAACCTTTTTCCTCTTTCTCATTCTCTGGTGATTTTGCTACCATCTTTTTTTCTTTCTTTCTTTTTTTTTTTTTTTTTGTACTAGGGATCAAACTTAAGACCTTGTGCTTGCCAGGCAGGCACTTATGCCTCTTTGCTACCATCTAAGATCTTCTGACTCTTGTTTCTCACATGGATCTATAAAGGGGCTGGGGATTTGGCTCAGTGGTAGAATGCTTGCCTAGCAAGCTGGAAGCCCTGGGTTCGGTCCTTGGCACCAAAACCAAAACATAAACCTTCCCTAAAAAACAATTCAACCAAAAAAATATGGTAAAATCAAAAAAGACCAAAAACAAACAAGGCAACTGCACATGGATCTATAAAAATCCTTAAAGCCTGTATCTGATCCTGTCAGTCCAGACGTGAAACTTTGCACCAGTTTCTATGTCTCTAAATCAGATCCAAATCTTCACATGGCCTTAATGACTGTCCCTATCCTCTCACCGCTCCCCCCTCTGGGCCCAGCCACAGCGGCTCCAACCCATAACGCTCCCCTCTGCGCAGGGCCTTTGCACGTGTGGCACCTGGGTATTGCTCCCTCATGTCAGCTCCCCAATGTCCCCCCGCTAGCGAGGGCTTCACAGATGACCTACTTGAAACAGCAAGCTTGCAGAAGTCTTCCTCCCCTTGCCTGTGTTATTTCTGGCATAGCGTTTATCACCACATAATATACTTTTTACTTAATTATTTATTGTATCGCTCCAGCTGAATATTTATTTTTTCCCATTGTGTACATTTCTGTAATCAGTATCTAGAACATCGCCTGGCACATAATAGGTACAAATATAAGTACTCATGGAAGAAGAAAGACGGAAGAAAGGAGGGGAAGGAGGGCAGGAGAAAGGAAAACCTTGCTTCTAGACACAAGGTTCAGCTCCCTATGCCTGGAAGAGCAGAAGAGCTCAGGCTGGAAAACAGGCAGTCAGGGAAGCAATCTTGCTGGAGCTAGCAGCTGGGCCCTCGCGCTTCTGTCTCGGGGTCTCATTGTCTCTGTGTCAGGGACAGTGTCTGCTTGGAAGCCCCTCTGCCCCTGCCAAGCAGGACACAGTGCCTCAGTGTAGCACTCAGATGAAGAGCTGGTCACCAGTGGTGGCCACCGACTCCTGCCTGTTTAGACGTGTAGGCAGGCTGGTGGCAGTTTATTCTGTTCTCAAGATCTCACATTGCCTGGCATCTTGAAGGATCTCTGATGGATATCAGAGGCTTTGTGAGCCCGCAGAACATTTTTGTGTTTTTCTTGGGGCAACAGTCCACAGTTTTCATCACATTTCTGAGCAGCTCACAGCCCTCAGAAGGGCAGGGTGCAGATTTAGTGCAACTTCGCAGTTTGCAGATGAAGACACCTGGGTCCCGGAGAGGTGGGTTGATTTACTTAGGGGGTGGCAGAGCTGAGCTAGGACTTGAAATGCTAGAAGCTGACAGGTGCACACATACTTTCCAAGGTGTTGCTGGGCGAGGTGGCACATGCCTGAAACCCCAGCGCTGGGAAGGCCAAGGAGTGAGGAATGCTATGGGTTTAAGGCCAGCCTGGTCTACACAGTGAGTTCAAGCTCAGCCTGAAATACTAGTGAGACCATGTCTCAAAAAAACCCTAAATCAATCAGTCAATCAAAGTGTCCTTGCCAGTCACCTCGGGGACACCACTCAGACGCTGGCTGGGGCCTGAGGCTTATAGTTTATAGTACTGCCACAGGAGGACAGAGGGCTTCAGGCAGCCAGGGGCTGTCAAGGACAGCTGCCTGCATCACTGGTACACCCCGCAACCAAGAGCAGAGTCCTGGAGAGCCCCAGGGCTGTGTGGAGACCTGTAGAGAGAGCTGGGGGTCAGCAGTCCTGGATGCTCTCTCTGCCCACGACCTAATCTCTGCTCCCTGCAGGAGAAGAAATGTATCCTGCCTCTTTTCTTTCTTTTTCAGAACTGGGGCTTGAACTCAGGCACTTTTGCTCGCCAGGGACGTGCTTATTCCACTGAGCCATCACCCCGGCAGAATGATCCTGACTTTTTTTGCACAACCGGGGATTGAACTCAGGCCCTTGCCCTTGCCAGACAAGTGCTTATTCTACTGAGCCATTTCCCTGGTCCAGTATTCTGTCTCAATCACCTCTGCTCCATGTATTTGCAGTAGCTTCCGCTCCTCGCAGCTCTCCTTCAACTACATGAACTCCATCAACTCTTTCCCCTTGCTGCCCCAGGGACTTGAGAAACCCCAGCATCTTCTATTAGGAAGACAAAAGGCAGAGAGCCTTCCTGCACATCCTATTTGGAGAACAATCTCTTGGCTTTTTTTTTTTTTTTTTTTTAAATATGGAACGCTGCACGAATTTGCTTGTCATCCTTGCACAGGGGCCATGCTAATCTTCTCTGTATTGTTCCAACTTTAATATATGTGCTGCCGAAGCGAGCACAACCTCTTGGCTTCTGCCCCTGACTTGGGAATGTTTTCTGGGCTTTGGTTTAGTGTTTTCTGGGGCACTTTGGATTATCTCAGCAATCCTTTTCAACTCCCCTACCAGGAAGATGTTTACCAATCACTATTTTACAGAAAGGAAATTGAAACTGAGCAGTTAATGGACCTGCCCAAGGCTGTAGAGCTGCGAGAGGCGGCCTGGGGAGTGGAATCCGGACCAGAACCCAGACGCAGCCTCCACGTCCAGAACTGTCTCTTCTCTTCCTCCGTTTTCCACTTCTAGGAACCCACTGGTTTCTTGCTTGTGGTCTTTGCATGGTTTGCACTTAAAACTTCAAGAGCTGAAAGCTGGGCCTTTCAGCAGCTGTATTGCACATTGAATAACGCTTTGTGGCTGCTTTTGAAGATTATGACAGGAGGGATGAGCTGGCTGCCCTCTTTCTGGTGTGCTAAGTCAGGTACAGCAGGAGACCCACCTGGGCTTGGCTCCCAGGTGCTCCCAGGTGAGCTACGGGGCATTAGAACCCTTAGGGCTGGGAGTGGCAGCAGGGCAGCCTGGCGTTGGAAGAGGCACCAAGCTCCTGCTGGCCTCAGAATGCCTTTGTGCCGAGACCATGATGAAGCAGAAATCTAGCTCATGCCAGAAGGTTCTACTTCTACAGTCCTCCAGCTCTCAGGCCAGGATTTCCCCGGGAGCCAGTGGAGGTGTTGGGGCGAGACCTGAAGCCAGGACACTGCCCAGGAAGCAGCTACTCCAGGCCGACAGCTTTTGGCTCCCCCTCCTCCTACTATAGGCAGCCAGCATCTCACCCTACATTCCCTTCCTGACCAGTCCTCAGTCTATCAGGTCTTCCCAGCCCCACGACAGACATCTTTTAAAGGTAAAAATATAAACACGTCATGAAGCACCACAAACACCATTCACTGACTCCTTAGCTACAAAGCCAAAACACAGCCAAGGAGATAGCTCAGTGGCACAAGTGCTTGCCTGGCAAGCGCAAGGTCCTGAGTTTGGTCCCCAGCACTGAGGGGGAAAAAAGCCAAAACACACACACACACACACACACACACACACACACACACACACATAAATAAATGTTTTAAAAAAAAAATCTCAGTCCGTTTGGTCTAAGACAAGCTAGAGATTCACTGCAGGGTCAGGCACCTGTCTGTCATGCCCTGGCACAGCTGAAGTGCGCAGAGGAGGAGACTGACCACTGGGTTTGGTTTGATTGATAAAAGGCCAGACTCATGCCCCCTCAGAACTAGTACAGAATTAGGGGGTCCCCTTACATTATACCAGCAGCAAGTAAGAACTCAAGGAAGAAGATGAGGTCTTGAGAATAAGTCTGTACAAAGAAGTCAAGCTTTGCAAAAACCCAAGGTGTAGCTGGGACAGTGGCGAGGTCCTCTGCATGCAATGCCCACCCCCCTGCCCCCAGCCCAGAGTCACCTTCCACAGGCGGCAGGAGCTGTCGAGGTGAGGCCCGGGGTCCTTCGGCATCAGCTGGGCTGGCTTCTTCCACCTTCAGCTTGGAGCCTAGGGCCACCTCCGGAGTTGTGGCTGACTCCATGCTGGGCCAACCCAGAGGCTGGGCTCCAGCAGAAGATTGTCGTTGCTGGTGGCGAGGGAGGGGCCGGGCACTTGCTATGTGGACTGGCTGCTGGGGTCCCGGCCACAGGCTTATGTAAGTGGGCTGGCCTTTCTCCACCTACCTACCCTCAGCTGAAGGGTGAAGTATGGGTTAGGGGAAGAGAGGAGGATCAGAGAGGAGCCCAGAATAGCCACAGGAGGAGGGATGAGGTGGCTCTGTTATCTTGGGAGAGAGATGACACCCCTCACAGTGCTGGGGAGGGAGGGGAGAGCTTGAGCACAGACCATACGAAAGGGACCGCTGGCTTCTGTTGGCAGGACTGGGTGACATCTCAGCTCCTGACCTCTGGCTTGTCGCAAAGGCCTTCAAGTCCCCCGATCTGGGATTCACAGGTGTACCTGCAGCTGCTGCCACACTGAGCTCTCTAACTTGACCTTCAGGATGTGCCTCCAGCTCTCTGCCCATCCTCTTTGAACGCCCCCCTCGAGGGCAGGGGCCTGCAGTGGCGGGAACAGCCTGCACTCTGCACACAAGACTACCTGGACTCTAGATGGGCTCTGTGACCACCTACCTGCACGACTGACAACACACCAGTGTCCGTCCTCTCTCCCATAGTGGTCTAGAAAAGTGCTAGACTGCTGAGCTTCCTCCCCAGCCCTATCTTTTAAGTCTGTATTTTCCTCTGAAAAATGGAGATAATAGTAATCATAGGGTTATTGTGAGGATTAGAAGAGGTAATCTCTATAAAGTGCTTAGCAGAGTGCAGCCGACAAAGTGCCTGATAATGGGAGCTATTTTTAGGTCAGGCCCCATTTCCCCCTTTGAAAGCTGTCTCCTTCCTGAGATACAGCATAGTGGAGGAGGAGGCAGCAGGTGAGGAGGGCCCTGTCATTTCTGGCTGTACCACTGGGTCACCAGTTGGTGGCTCTGAGCCACAGGTCTAGGATCAAGGGACGCATACTACAGGAAGGTGGCCAGCACTTAACAGGAGCTAGCTGTGCACCAGTAGCCCTCTATGGCTTCCTGGTGCACAGAACCCTCGTTCTACGTGTCATATACTGCACCCAAATTATCTGGTTTCCTGTCATACTCCCACTTTCCTGTCTCCAGAAGACAGCATCTCCTCTGCATTTTTAAAAAAAATATACTTTATTTTTAGAGCAGTTTTAGGGTCACAGAGAAGTTGCGTGGAAGCAGAGTTCCCATATTCCCTTCCTCCACGTATTTTTCCATGGGGTAAAATCAGTGTTGTAGAACGAAGGGTGCCTTGCTTATTTTAGCTCCCAACTTGGGGGCAGCCAGTAGATTCCTGGGACCCTTTATTATCTTGGAGTGACAGAATCTCAGTCCTGGGGCTGGTGAGATGGCTCAGTGGTCTAAAGCACCTACTTGGAACAAGCTTGGCAAAGCATAGGGACCACGTTTCGGTCCCCCAGCACCACATGCTAGCCAGCCTGGCCCCCAGGTGGGCTGAGCTGGCCACACACACACACACACACACACACACACACACACATAAATAAATAAATAAATGTTTAAAAAAAAAAAAGAATCTCAGTCCGTTTGGTCTAAGACAAGCTAGAGATTCACTGCAGGGTCAGGCACCTGTCTGTCATGCCCTGGCACAGCTGAAGTGCGCAGAGGAGGAGACTGACCACTGGGTTTGGTTTGATTGGTAAAAGGCCAGACTCATGCCCCCTCAGAACTAGTACAGAATTAGGGGGTCCCCTTACATTATACCAACACTGTTTTGGAGAGAAATTTGACTGGCCAAGACCTTCAGCTGTAAGGAATGCAGTAAGATGCACATTTTCTTGGCCTGCCCACTGGAAAGTCTTAATAGGTCTCAGGTAGAATTGAGGAATCTGCACTCTTAAGAAAACAACTAAAAAAAAAAAAAAAAAACCTACAAGAAGGGGCTGGGGAAATGGCTCAGTAGAATCAGTGCTTGCCTGGCAAGTGCAAGGGCCTGAGTTCAATCCCTGGTTCCACCAAAAAAAAAAAAAAAAAAAAAAGAAAGCAACTTGTTGGCTCTGAATATGATAATCTTAACATATTATTTTTGTACTATTTAAACAAAAACTATTGCAGATAGTCTTGTGGGATAGGTCCAAGAACAAAGGCTTTCCCTAGCCACCTCTAGACCAAGCTGCTGCAGTGTGGAATGGAAGGGCTGTCCCAGCAGGAGGGCTAAAGGCTCTAGGCAGAAATTATTATTATTATTTTGGTGGAACCAGGGATTGAAGCCATCTCCCCAGCCCTAGAAATTATTAATAATGTGGTTACTCCTACTTGCCCAGTGGTGCCAAACCCCTATGCTATGCTCTCTCATATCCTCCTTCCACTCCTCACTTTACTGTCCTAGACCTTAAAGATGCCTTCTTCACCACTGCCAGGACTTCTTTGCCTTTACATGGACTGACCCAGATACTGCAGGCAGGAAGTGTCCTAGAGGCCGCCTGGAAGAGGAAGGTTGCTGTCCTTTGAAGGACTGTAAGAGCAGCAAGGAAAATCTACAAAGGGAAACCATAAGCGATGAAGCTTAAGTCCTAATGCCGTCATTTATCAAACCTGCTACAAGGAGCACAGAATTCAGGAGAGGAGATACGGGCACAGCCAGAGAAAGCCTAGGAGTGTGGACAGCTCTGCGAGTTTCTGAAGGTGAGAATAAATGCCACGAGATGGAGATTTTTATAAGCATAAAGAACAAGATAATGAACAAAAAAGTTAGATAATTTATGGAGGAAAAATTCACTTTTGGGGGGAGTCATTGTCACCACAAAATACCTAAGACTTTTCATGACAGAAATGCACAGTCCTGGCTCTTCAGATGGGTTCTTTCAAGCAGGTTGCTGAGTTTGGATTTTTCAAAGCTAAAATCGGGAAATTCTGTCATATTAACAAACTATAGCTTAGTCATCTTGGTAGGTCAAGTAACAAAGTCCAGTCTGTTTTATTTCTAACCCAAATATTGCAAATATACAGAAAATTACCAGTACAAAGTTAAACACATCCAGATTTATTTACACAACGCTAAAGAAGTTTGAGTTTTATTTCCATTTTTGTGGGATTTCATTGTGGGGTCTGGCTTTACTGTGTAACTGACATGGGTCACTGAAACTGATCATCTCACCTTACATGCAACTTCCTGTCCCGAGGAAACAGAAACTTGGGTCTTCAGCACACATGCAGTAATGATCTTAGTACTGCTCAGCACTTTCACAGGAAGGCAGCAGTCTCGTGGGTCGGGAGGGACCACATGCTCAGACAGGGAACGAGAGCCAGGAGAGGAAGGAACGACGGGCACGTGGGGACCCTGAGCGTTTCGGTGCAGGAGAAGAGTACGACCCCCGTCCTCCTCCCCAGTGGTTCAAACACAGGAGGTGGGCAGAACCACCCGGGGACATTAAGTCACCGGCCACGACTGAAGGCATGCAGAGGATGAGACCTGCATTAAAGATTTGGGGGCTATCAATAAATCATTAACATGTACACTATACAGTTTATATATGTATATATGTACATATCTATATATATATATATATAAAGGTACAGATTAGTTTGTTAATTCATATAAACAAGAATGCTTAAGGATGTACTTGTGTGAAAAAATGCATACAGCAAGTTGTTAAAGATAATTTCAAATTAATGTTCTAATCCTAATTGCTTTCATCGTAAGTAAGAACTCAACATGCTCCTGCTATTTCAGTTATCCTCTCTGAGGGTCAGGCTGGACTCTGCTAGGGCAGGAAGAGCTTGTAGCGCTGCCTGCTCTGAGGAAATCCACAGCAGATGGAACAGAAGCCTGGCACCTGATGTCTCTGGCCCTCCCATTCACTACTTCACACGGCAAATCTTAAACTTTGGTTTTGTTTAAAGAACATTTAGGTCTATGTCAATTTTCCTGTTGGAAAGAAGGTGGCCGGAAGTTGAAGTGGCGCATCTCTTCCTATTTGAGCAGTCCCAGGTTTCCTAGCTTAATATGGAGATGAGGGCTGTGCTCACAACGAGCTCGTATGTACTGTGTACAAGGGTGGGGCTCGTAGAGCTCGCCTAAAGAGAACAACTCTCTACCTAGATGCTTTGCTGAGAACGCCAGGCCAGCCCCGAGCCCCAGGGCTGGCACGGATGCCTCTCCCTGTGTCCCAGCTTCACAACACAGGCCAGGGCTTGTCCAGCTATAGTTCCTACTCCCAGGGCAGGAGCTGGAGGTGGCCAGCACGTTCTTAATCTGTCAAGGATGAAAGGCCAGCTGACACACACCGAGATTCAGAGACAAACCTAAGAGTAAGAAAGAGATGTACTAGGAGCCTGTCCTACGCAGAGGCGGATGCCAGTTCCCAGCTTCAGGCACACTGATACCGCTGCACGTCCTAAGCCCCACAGCTCCCACAACTCTCCAAAGGCTTTGTTTTCTAAGCAGTGTCGCCACTCGATTTACAGCTTAGGCACATTCTACTCTGGTCTCTGGTCTCAAGAAATATGAAAAATCCATTAGGTCTTCAACGGGAAGGATTCTGGATTTAAGAGCTCAGACTGCTTTGGACTGTGATTATGTCCACCTTACCTAACAATCTAAATTTTATTGCTCAAACCTCCGGAAATCTCTTCTGCAGCTATCACACCTGGGACTTTATGTGGGCATGCTAGGTTTTAACGTCAAGGGTGATGCTCCTAACCTGAGTAGGGCGAACCAGAGACCTTTTTATTTTAGAAACAGCATCAAAGGGTTTAGGCTGTTTTAGTCCCTGGTGGAGGGCACACATTTGTGAGGCTGCTACTGAAAGCTACGGAGCCATAAAGGGAATGAGCCAGCCTAGCAGGCAGTCCTAAGGCAACACAGTCACCAGCCCAGTGTGGGAACAACGGGATGGAGAAGGGGACCCATCCTCGGAGACTCACACCTGTGGTCCTCAGCAGTGACCCTCCACACAGGGAGAGCCTGTCCCTGAAGACACATTCAAAATTACCATTGTTTTCCGCCATGAAAAATAGGAGGATAAAATTTTCTGTTTTCAAAAAGAAAACAAAAAGGTGCTAACTAATGCTCTAAGAGCAATTCCACTGACCCTTCTCCTGAAAAACAGCACGTCACCTCTGAGAGAAGCTACGTCCCGAGTGCTGAGCACTGACTCCGTAGCCACCTTCCAGAGCTCTGAAGACAACCACCGGCGTTGCTCAGACCACACTCAGGGACCCGGACAGCTGACTCGAGTTTGGTTCTTTGGTTCATCTCAAGAACACTGGGGGCTCAAATGACGTACGTGAAAGTGCTGAGAGAATCATCAACTCTATATAAATATAAGATGTTATTATAAGCAAAGGGCTCTGATGTTATTTGTTTAGAGAAGACTATTAGCCCTCCTACATCTTAAAACTAGTAAAAGGATTACCACGCATTTATTGGCCATCTAATCTACATCCTTCTGCATGTCTGTTGGGGAAAAGAGACGTGGTGTGCGTACGTCTATGCTGGGCATCAGATTCACTTTGGGCAGGAGGTGAGAGTGGGGCAGAGGCTGATGCTCATCCTTTGTGAGCTGGTATATATCTTTGGATTTAAAAATTGAAAACCACATACAACAAATGATCCTAAAGCTGGTACACTCTAGCCTGCACAAATACTCTCTTCACAAAGACTGCCCTAACTTCATTTGCTAACAGAAGTTCCCTGACTCGTTGAGCTGTACTGCAGTTCCAGAGCTTCTAAAATTCCCCAGGCACTTCCTCCCCCGCTTCCCGGCTGCTGTTCACCCCTTCTGAGGAGCAGAAAGCTCAGCCATCTGCTCCCGCATTCTGACAGAAGTCATTTTGGCACAGCTACTTTTTACTGACTTTCTAGCCACACAGTGAGCTAGCAGCAAATGGCACCTATCAGAGTCTCCCAGTCACTGGGAGAAGCTGTGACCAGCGCAGTAGGTGCAGTAAACCAAGGACTGGCCACGCTGTATTCCTGGGTGGCAAATAGTCAAGCTATAATAAAACTCATCATTGTAGCTTCATATTACAAAATCCACCCAATTACATTCTGTAATTCATTTAATTTGGAAAAATGTCAAATGGGAAACTTCCTTAAATTTAAAATATGAGCACAATGTATCAAGCAAAGCGTCAAGACCAGAAGTGTGTTTTCAGTCGGTTCAGCCAATGGTTTTATGCCAAGTGACTTGGCAAAGCAGATGTGAGGACAAGTGCCTAGTAATAAAATGCTGATCTAAAAAAAAAAAATCTATGAATCTGGAAACATCTCTAGTCCTGAGCGTGTACAACAGCAACCCAGGAGGAAGCAGATAAGCAGCACACAACGGGTGGTTCAGTTGTAAGCCAACATGACAGGCTCCGCGGGAAACGGGAGCGGGCAACATCTCCTCAGGCTGCACCGCGCTGCGAGCACCGACGGCCTCCGCGGAGGTGGCGGGCGGCAGGCCCCCAGGCCTGCACGCTGTCCTTGAGCACGGCTCCTGGCACACACACAACGCTAGCTTCAGCCATCTCAGAAGCAGCCAGTTTTGCCTTTAATAGGTACTAAATCTAGTCAATTCTCTGTTGCTCCCTTCAGCCTGTCCCAAGTTAAAAATATTGCCCTGTGAGTTTTCCTGATTTAGTATCTTGGAAGCACATGGGTAAGTCAGTTGCCAAAGGGCAATTAACAAGTGTACTGCCTAAACAGGGAAAAGCAAAAGCAATGTGGTCTACGGTCCTTGGGGGGGAACAAAGCCGCGTCAGGTCTGTGTGAGGAGCTGGTAGCAAATGCTCTTGGAGGGCCGTCCCCAGATGCAGGGAGGCGGGCCGGCTCTGCCAGCCACTGCAGCCTGGGTTTCCCTTTCTGTGGCTGCTTCCCGTGGCAGGCAGAGCCCAGGGGCAGCACATGTACACGTGAGCTCAAGCTGGAGCCACAGGTGCTCGGGGTAGGTGCCACAGAGAACAGGCAAGGGCGTCGAGGGGACAAGCCTTCGAATGCCACGGCATTTCCTTTAAAGCAAAAACAAGACAAAAGCCCAAAGAAACCAAAACCCAAACAAATCCAAAGCCTATAGTTTAAAAAAAGACAGAATTTGAAATAAAAAGTTAAAGGATTTAAATTTTCCCCCTATTCAGAGCCAATTTTAAGAGTGCTGAGGGTTTCCCACCCCATCCCGAAGTTCTTTAGTGTAGGTCCTTTTGGCTTTGATGGAAGCAGCAGAACAGAGCTGGGTCCCTTGAACTGGGAAATCCACTTCCCCAAACTGGAGCCACAGGGAGTGTAGCGTACAGCGGGTCCACTCTCTGTGCCTGGTCCCAGCTCCTTGGAAGAGCTATTCCAGGAGGTCCTGAAAGAAAGACACGAGCCATATTACTGACAGATTAAAATATTCCTATTTAGAAAACAATCTAGCTTTTGAGCCAAATCCCGCAGTTATTAAGGTGCTGCTTTTGAATTAACCCTTCCTTTGTGCTTCAATTGTGTGGTTTTTTCCTTTTTTTTAGATAGGGTCTCGCTATGTAGCCCATGCTGGCCTTGAACTTGCAGCAATCCTCCTGTCTCTGCCTCCTGAGTGTGCTAGGATTACAGGCATGCGCCATCAAACCTAGCTCAGTTGTGTTTTGATGTTGAGTAAAAAAGTCACTTTGTGTGTGTGTGTGTATATTTTTGGATGACAACTCAAGGAGACAGGGTCTCACCTCATCTGAGTCATCGTGATAACCGCTCTTGTTGGCGTGGGAGGCTGTGTCCAGCGTGTCCACCCCGTCGGCCTCTGCGTGCTGCTGCAGCACGGAGTATCGATGCACTAGGAATCTGTCGACAGAAGCACGTGGTGAGCAGGGTGCCTTTCTCACACTCCTGGGTGAGTCACACACAGGCATCACAGCCCACAGCTGGCACATGGAAAAATACAGGCTAAGGCAGCATTTGGCTTTCCAGGGACACCAACTACCTAGTTTTAGCCGAGGGCAGACTCAACTCTGAGCGTGAGACTGTGGTTTAAGTTCAGGACTGTGGACTCCCACGTTCCTTACCTTCCACCACAGACATATTTCTTCACAATGAGCACTCCTGCTACAACTGTGACCAGCATCAATCCCACGATGGCCAGGATAATTGGAACAGAGTTTGACTTGGAATTCTTGATAAATTAAAACAAAATACAGAAAAGCATTAGGTATGCATATTCTAGTCTTAGGCCTGCGTTCAGAGTGGCTGCCGCACCCCCTTATTTCCTTTGAGCTTCATACCCGGTGGCACTTAATGATGTTACTTTTCCAACCCCACTCAAGGATGAACTATCTCAGCATTACTGGGAGAGAATCCCAGAGGGCAGGGGTCTGAACTCCACTGCCCGGATGCTACAGTGGGCTCCACCACCACAACGGGGCTGGAAGCCTGGCGAATGAAACACGGTAATCACGGCAGCTCCACATCCCTGTTTACAAATCCTGGAGCTGAAGTGCAGAGCAGGAAAGGGGCTGAATGAAGCTAGAACAAGATCTTCGGGACCATGCCATGTCAGTGCTACACTGGCAGGCCAGCCTCCGACACCAGGGTTTATGCTTTTACTCCACTTCTGGTATGTTTACAGATAAGCCTGATCGGATCATTGCTCATGTGTAACCTACCTGCTTCTGGGTGGGAGATAGGAAGTGTGTGTTTTCAATGTGTCCAAGAGGAGGCGGAGCTGGATTCTGGGACAAGCTGTGTCCCTGTGGGCGGGAGTCCTGTGCAATCACACACACAAACACTCTGAGGACAGCCACTAGAAGCCCACGGCAGGGGTGCAGAGAAGAGGGGACTTGTCCCCCTTACAAATACACGCACCCACACACTCCTCTCCCCTTGCCTTCTCCAGCCCACCTCTTAGTCTCTCAGCACTTGAAGCAGCAGAGCGCAGGCGGCAGGCCGCAGGCCGTCCAGCTCAGCCTCTCACGTTACAGTTAGGACCGGGGTCCCTGGTTTGCCTCCCAGGTCGTATTACTACGTGCCTCTGCATCAGGAGGGTTCTTCTTCACCATATCTCCAGGTCCCAAGCAGATAGCTCAGCACCACAGTTTGTAGTCAACCTCATGACTTATGTTTCAGCTTCTCACTCTGAAGCCACTGGCAGGACTCAACACAGAAACCCGCCCTCCTGCCATTCAAGGCTTTCTCCACATGCAGGACTCGGGTCGCGGCCCCTTCACAGCCAACTTTCTGTCTCAAAATTCATTTTTAAATTTTTGGTTGACATGTTATCACTGTACACATCAATGGAGGCACTGTGATATTTCAACACGCTCCTGCGCCATGCACAGCCGGCCAGCCAGCCTTCCTGAGGCTTTTTCCTGAATGACTCTGCGCCTCAGACATTTCCACAGCTCTCTGCTTCTGAGATGTTTACGCCTTCACAGGCTGCCTTTTCTCCAACCAAAAGAGCTTGTAATGAGATGAACTTAGCACTGGGTTATATGACTTATTCTTTATTCTAATGGTTTCTTGTGCAAAGAGAACTCTGATAGAAGCAGTTTGGCCACTTCGTATCAATAATACAATTTTTGATGCTATAACGGACTTCCTGACAGAATATGAAATCCCATTGGTATCTAAAAAGAAGATCTATTTTAATGTACCTGCTTCTTGGGACTCAAAAAGTTGCTTGTGCATTTCTTTTTCAAGTCTTTCACTTCTCGAGCTGGACTCACCCCACCTTGGCATCTGTCTCCTGGGATTTTCCGGTACCTGAAAGTCAGAGATTTGCTTCCAGGGCTTTCTGCTTGCTGGCAGCGCTGCCCTGACGTCGAGGCGTGCAGCTGTGGCCCCTGCTTCTGGTGGGAGACACTGTGGCCTCACAGGGACCAGGGGCCAAGCCCAAGCCACGGCCAGTATGTTGGCAGCAGCTGGCCTGACAACCCGCACAAGAGCTTTAGGCAGGTGTGTTTGACAGACCATAAGACACACAGAGCCCTAAATATCCTCTAAGTCGACCGAAATCTGCCTTCAGTGGTGCCTTCTCAGTGGTGGGTTTGAGCTCAAAATGACCAAAACAGGGGCCGGGCAGATGGTTCAGTGGAATAAGCGCTTCCTGGTAAGCGCAAGGGCCTGAGTTCAATCCTCAGTTTCGCAAAAAAACCAAAAAAACCCCAGAAAACCAGGAAGCAGCTTTAGTGCTAGTGAAAGCGCTACTGCTACTAGCGGAGGAACGGGAGACGCTCATCCAGACAAGGGAGGGCCTCCGCATGCAGCAGCCAAAAGTCAACACAGCGGAAGACCTGTCAGATGAAAAACAAGCGTAGGATGAATTTTCTACTTTATTAGTTTATGTACATGAATACCATTTTTTTCTTTCATTCTCCCAGCCTTTTATAATAAAATGACTCAGAGCTATGAAAAGGAAGGAGGGAAAGGAGGAAGGTAGGGCAGAGGGAGAAGCAAGGAGAGCTGGTGTGTTAACAGAATACAAAGATATGCTACTGGCCCCTGGCCTGCTTCCTGGAGACAAGTCGGGAGCTGCAGACGGGTCTCTGCTCCTCACGTAACCACGGGAGAGCCTGAATAGACACTCCAGCTACACTTGCTCTGAGTTCACTTCTAAGAGCTGTTCATTTGGGAGCACGGCTGCACAGGGTGTTATTGGTTTTCAACTAGGTTTGCTATAGATGTCACATCTGATGCGTGGGTCTCGATGATAATGCTTGCCCAGGGGATGGTTGGGGACCTGAAGGGCATTTGTGTTGAAATCGCCTCTTCACGTGTGTCAGGAGGGAGACCCTTTGGACAGCCACTCTTTGCAGCTACAGTCTGAAGGATGGGCACAGAGTCCCCCTTAGCTGTGCTCTCACCACCATCCTGTGAGCACGCATTCCACAGAGTTCACACGTGCAGGTCAGTGACTGCCTCACTCGCAGTCACCTTTTCCCATGCCTCACATCACCCCGATTCTCTACCTCATAACAGCCTCATACCTACTGTCGGGAGGCGGAGCTGAGGCTTGTCCTCCTGTCTCCACACACTGGGTTACCCCCTGAATAAACTTTCTCTTTTGCAAAACTCTCTGTTGTAATAGTTGGCGTTGTGTACAATGAGCAAAGTGAAACCGATGTGGTAACATGCCATCTCTCAGGCCTAGAGGAATGTCCACAGATATGTTGAGCTCACTAAGCACCTCTGCTCCCAGCTGTTGGGGACTTGTTTGTCCCTTCCACCTCAAGAGGCTGTGACCCAGACAAAGCTCATTAGTAAATGGTACACAGTGGAGACCGGGTGGCAAATTTACTCAGACATAGCGAGGCTGCTCTGGAGCTGTACTGCCCATTTGGTGTCCATTTAAATCCAAATTAATTAAATGAAAAGTCCCTTTCCTCAGCTGTGCTCATGTCACCAGCTCTGTGTGGCCAGTGGTGACCATATGGAACACAGCAGGCCACAGCGCATTCTCCTCAGCGCTGAAGCGTCTTCTAGGTTGTGCCTTCGCAAGTATTCGGGCACTAGCTGGCTGTCTGCATGCAGAGAAGCAGCTTTCCCCCCGAGCAAGGAAGATGCAACTGCCCCAGAGCAGAAAGGCCCTCTCACCCATTTGTTGTCAGGTGTTCTTCGCGTCCATACAGACAAAACTCGAGGTCGTGCCCCTTCAGTTCTGGCTGTTCCACACACTTGGAGTCATTTTCTGGACGGAAGTAGCCAAAATCACTGCAAAAGCCAACAAATAAGGTAACTCCCAAAGCTGCTGAAGGGCAGTACTCGATGAGCAATGAATGTTTTATGTGGGGAAGGGGATGGCTCACAGCCCAGGCTGAAAGAGCTGTCAGCAGCGCAGGAAGCTCTGTGACAGCTCTGAAGAAGGCCCATGCTCACATTTGGCTCTGGGTCTCCCAAAGCCCATGTGCTCAAGGCTTGCTCCCCAGCACGGCGGAGCTAGTGGGAGGTGGGGACTAGCAGGAGGTACCCAGGTCACTGGGGAGCTCCGGTCCCGCTTCTCCTCTGTCCTGCTCTCTGTCCATGGGGAGAGCAGTGCTGCCCCGCCACATACCCTGCACTGAAGTGCTGTACTGCCACAGGCCTAAACAACAGCACCGAACAACTGTGGGCTTGCTCACTATAAACTTTGTCCCTTATGAGCCGATCACCTTGGGCAGCTGCTATGATGGTGGAAAACTGACCAACTCAGCCTCTTATTTAGGAAAACAGAGATGGGGGCTGCCTCTGCTAAGGAGGAAAGAAGAACACATAAATCAGGCCTGGTGGTCTTAGGAATAGCTAGAGCTCCAGACTCAGGGTTCTGCAGACAGTTCAGGCTCAGGGAAGGAACAGAAAGCAGCTGACACTGGGGTGCCGGCTCCTCGGCTAAGACAGGACAGGCACAGAAATGGTGGCATAAAACACACTTAGATTCAGGAGATTTAATAATTCTTTACTTCTGAATGTAATTATATTTTGCCTATGAGGTGGATGTCAACCCCTTTCTGTCTTCCCCTCTTCTGGGTCTCTTAGCTTATCACCCAGCGGGGTCGCCAACGGGAACAGCCCCGCTGTCCTCCACCCCATCGCACCTCTTCACTCCGTTTCCCCACACGAATGCTGAGGCCAGCACCCTACAGAGGCACACCTAGTCTTCGTGCTGCTCTCACCACCCGCCCTGGGCCCTTGTGCAGACAGCATCCCACTGGTGGCTTCTCATTACTCCACATGCATCTCTACTCTAGAAATTTCTGCCTTAATCTTCTCCTCCTTAATGGATCATTTTTTTCTTTCCTTCTTTTTCTCTCCCCTCCTTCCCCCTTCTCCTCCTTCTGTTCGTCTGCTGTGGCACTGGGTCCGAGCCAGGGGCCTCCCCAAGCTAGGCAAGGAGGCTACCACTGAGCTATCCCTCCAGACCCCTCCTTCTTTTCCAAAAATTTTTGAATAGGGTCTTGCTAAGTTGTTCAAGCTAACATTAAACTTGTAATCTTTCTGCCTCGGCATCCCAAGTAGGCAGGGCTACAGATGTGCATCACTGTCCCCATCTTTACTGATCCAATTTCTTAAAAGACTATTTCTTGTCCCATTTTACTCATTTACTTTCTGTTCCTTGTGTTTTGCCCTCAACCCCTCTGCAACCTTGATAAGGGTTTTTTTTTTTGCTCCAAATGCCCTCAGGGGTGGCCGGGGTGTTGTGGGGATCGAACTACAGCAACCTGAGGCTGACAGCTTTGTGGAAGCAGCCACTTAAAGAACTGAGCTAGGGCCAGGCCCCCTCCTCTGCAACCTTGAACAGGAAGCCCAAGGTTGCTAGGCATCAAGCCCAGAGGGGCCCTCTCGGTACTGCCCCCTCTGCCACCTGCTGGCTCACCCAGCATGCCAGCATGCCCCTGCCCCGCCATGGTCTTTGTGCCCGTGGTTGTGCTTCTTTCTTCCACCTATAAATGCAGACTTTGACAGGGATCTATGATGCATTCTTTCATTTTCTGAATCTTCTCTCCCTTGGTGAACACAACTCTTTGCATTTACTAGTAAAATGTCCATGTTTTACCTCTCTTGGGCCTTAACCCTGTATTTCCAGATGGCGCTGGATGTCACCACCTAAATATGCTCACAGACTCTTGGAGGCATCAAATGGCCAGAGCACAGCATGCTTTCTGCCTTGCGCCAGCCCCTCCTGATCACGTCACCTGTCCGTCCACTCTACACCTTCCTTCTAGCGTCACAGTCAGCCCGGGCATCCTCCTCACCTCTGGTTGTGCCTGCCACTCCCAGCCTCTCATCTGGCATACCCTTCCCATGCCCCTGGGTGTCCCTGCTCGGTGGTCGCTGGCCCTAATGGCCCACTTTCTTCCCTCAAGCGCATGGCAATCCTACCATTCATCAGGACTCGAGATGTTACCTCCTGAGCTTCTGGGATCACCGCCTTTCAGCTCTAGATGGAGCCTCTTCTCCCTTCTCCACATCTGCAGGGCAACTGCCCCCTTTGTTTTATGTCATAGTGTAGTACACTTTATCCACAGTGAAGCTGTGGATCTGCAGTGAAGCTTCTGTTGTTAGTTTGCACTGCCCTGTGCAGAGCAGGCACTGAATGTATGGGGACTATGCAGACGCCGCCTGTAGCTTACGGGTTTCCTTACGAGGTTTTAGGGGAGAGGGCAAGGAACAAAAGATGCAAAAAACATCACCCTTCTATTGCAGGGGTAAATTTCAAGTAACAATTTTAGAATTCCTGCTCTGCCACTTTTTGCCAACAACCTTTCTGCTGTAAGTTTAAAGTGAACTGTTTAGGACAGTGCCAACTAGTTAGTGCTCATGTTGACTGCTGTCATCGCCACCATAGTATTACTGTTACGGTTTGTGTCTAGCTGTCCCCCCAAAGCCTCATGCAGTGATGGGGTGCACTTCTAGATGTTGTGATTAATTCACGATCCAGTGCTGGGATAATGGGTGTGAGTGCTGCACCCAGCCTGGGGCTGCTGGCCTGCGTGCAACAGAAGGGAACCACACAGGCTCTTTGCGGCCGCCGCTGTTGCCGCTTCCCCTCCCACTAGCTCTTGTTGTTTTGCTGTTTTCCACCCCATGAACTGCTGTCCTCTGCCATGCGACACCCTGCCTTGGAGCCATCCGAGTACGAATTGAAACCTCCACTGACTTTGAGCTAAATAAACCTTTCCTTCCTTACTTTTGGGTGTTGAGTATTTGTCCCAGCAATGAGAGAAAAGTAACCGAGACAGTACCATATGCCACACTGCGCGCTCTCGAGGAGTTTGGGTTTAATGGTGGAGCCAAGCCTATAACCATCATTAAAACACAGTGAGTGCTGATAATAGGGTGCTGTCTGGGGAGCTAAGAGGGAGAGGCTTAGCAGGTGTGGGGGTCCTGAGGAGAATACAGACAGACTTCCAGCCAGAGGAGATGCCTGACAGTGGCTGGGGCTCAGAAGAGTCAGAGAACACAGGTGCTCAGGGAAAGGGCTGGCGTGTTTGAAGTCAAGGACAGGATAGAAACTTTCAGACTTGTACAGGTTTATCCTTCCCAAGCTATGCTGGCACCCTGTGACCCTATGTGACTCCAAGGTCATGTGACTAGTGTCTTTCTTGTGCACAGAAGGCAGGACCCTTGACTGGTCTACACAGAGATATGAGCTACACAGGGTCAGGCCTGCACTCCACTGTCACCTGCAGTCCAAGGCTGCACTGTGAGGGAAGACATGACTGCTCTCTGCTTGCCTTTTTGTCCAAGCCCTTTAAGACACACACTCACCTTCTGTGAGTGTCTACTGTACACAGCAAACTCCACAAAATCTCCACCTGTGATGGGAAGCAGGCCTGCTGATTTCCCGTAAAATCACCTTGGTTAAGCTAACAGAGACTCCCTTGCCTTTTCTATAATCAATTACGCTCTGCCCACCAAGAAACTAACCCTTACGTCTGGATGGCCTGAACTCCAGGGGTCCACCCCGACAGCCCACAAATCTCAAAAGGCCACACAGGCCACAGACATCCTGACATCACCTCTAGTCTCAGGACCAAGTCACCATCTGTCTGCCCTCAGCATGTGGAGGAGCTGAAACCAAGCAGCCGTCCACGCAGCTGTTCTCTCACATTAACTTCCCTGCTGTGTCTGTGCCACTTTTCTTGGTATTTCTATCTCATCACTGGCTATAGATGTTATTGTTTTAGTTTCTTTTTCTATAGATTCTTTTCTTCCATCATTATCAAGTTAAGATTTCTAGGGTTGGTTGCTCATCCTGCTGAATGATTATCCAGTAAGATTATGCTATTTTTATTTATTTATTTATTTATTTATTTATTTATTTATTTATTTAGTGTGTGTGTGTGTGTGTGTGTGTGTGTGTGTGTGTGTGTGTGTCCAGCTCAGCCCACCAGGGGGCGGGGCTGGCTGGCATGTGGTGCTGGGGGATTGAACCGCAGTCCCTGTGCTTTTGCCAAGCTTGTTCTAAGCAGGTGCTTTAGACCACTGAGCCATCTCGCCAGCCCAAGATTATACTATTTGTCTACTTCTTCTCAACTAGTCCCTCCCTGACTAGTCACCATTATTCTTCTCTGAGCCTCCGCTTCCTGCAGAGGGGGAGGGATGTCAATATTTTAGCCCTTAAAGACAACTGTTTCCATCTCTTCCCATATGGGCAGGGGCGGCAGAAGGGTCTAAGGAGTGCTGGTACCAGAGAAAGTCCTCCAGAGAACAGGGACAGACGGACGGTTGCTTGGTCACAACATAGTCTCGGCCATTCTGACAGACGGATGACTTCCGTAGCCGTAGATACTGCTCCCTGTAGCCCAGAATGCAGCCATCTTGATAATCTCCAGGGTCTGTGGAGTGCGCCAGCCATATGGTGTAGTCCTTCTCCTCACCTAAAGGAGATAGATGGCTCAGGAAGCTGCAGAACAGAGCCCACCCACAGAGCAGCTGCCAGGCACCAGGCTATAGGAAGAACGAGGGCAGCAAGATGGCTGACTCCAGGTACTGCTATTTGGAACGGCAAAGAAAACACTAGTCTACAGCCTACGAGTAACTGCATTTCTTTATGCAAAAATTTGATTCTTTCCCTCTCACCTTCCATTCAAGGATTAGGAAAGAATCTCATTAGTTTTGAAGTGGGACACTATATAGGAAAGTTCTAGAGTTTCCTCCAAACTGAAAGGCTGCTGAGTCTTGCTCACTATCTTGCTTTTAGAGGTAAGAAACCAGATCCATTCCAAGGGCTCTTTGCTTAGTATCAGATACTAACTATACAAGAGTACAGTTTCACCACATGTTAGTTTGCTTCAGTCAGCAGGGAAAACAGCCTCTTTCTAGAATTCTGCTCTCAAATGTGGATTGTTGATGACAACAGCTTCTGGCTCAGAAAATCACGTCATCTACTCCTAGAAAAACAGCTCAAAGACTACAACTTACAGAGTGTGGATTATGTTTTTACCCTTCAGGATATGAAGACCAGCACAAGCCTGTTAGAGAACTGGTGCTTTGCAAATCTCTTAATGATGCTGAACTTCAGGGATACGATAGAACTGGCTGTTGAGGGTGAGACTCGTACGCCAGCTCCTTTACAACCTCTCTAACCAATTCAGATGACAGACGCCTCCAGGTCTTAAATCTTACTTAAACATCTTATAGAAAGGCAAGCTCCAGCTCAGAAGCTCTGCTTTCTCAGGAGCTAGTGAATTAACACCCCAGGGAAATGGACCTATAAAAATGTCTAACAGGATCAAAATTCAACTAAAATGTCTTGAAACTTTTAAGTCTTGGCTTGTGTTACACCCACATGGTTGTTTGGGTTATTTTTACCCCTAGTGATTTATCTCTCATGTTTCTCAGTACATGTCAACATCTTTGGCACAAGGTCCCGGTCTGCCTGGGACTCTGGGGGACCCTGTATGCCGCACATCACTGTCTCTTCCTGAAGCCATTTTCCAGGCTTTACTGTACCTTTTAGTGCAAAGCACAGAATTTGGAGGAGGTTCATGCGGGCTTCACACCTGCCCAGGGGTTGTTCTAGAGCCTCACTGTGACCAGGACGGAAGCCAAAAGCCTTTTGCATGAGAACTTCATTCCAACATTTTGAGAAGTTACACAAGCAACTAGATGCTTTTGTAAATACTTTCCTCTGGAGGTTCCTCTTTCCAGTTCCCCCATGTTTGCCTAATCAGGGTGAAGACTCCTGAATGTCATGAAACAATTGTAGATAAACACACATAAGCATTGTTATAAGCTGGGAAAAAAGTCTCATAACCGGTGAATGCAAAGTTAGGGATAGATACAGTAGTCCTGGCCCGTGTGGCTGGTCTGAACTGGGACTTCCTGTAAATGTAGGCATTAAAGTGGGTACCAGATTTTAAAGACTTAGAAGGCAAAAATGGCTGAGGGGATAGCCCAGTGGCATAGTGCCTGCCTGGCAACTGCAAGGTTCTGAGTTTGATTCCTGGTTAAAAAAAAAAAAAAAGAAGGAAAAAATGTAAAAAATCTCAACATATTTTAATATTGGGCACATATTAAAAGGATTGTTTCAGACATAGGAAGATAATCATATCACTGAAATGTATTTCATTTTTCTTTTTACTTTTATTACATAGCTGACATAATAGTTTAAATTACGTATGTGTCCTCATTTCTCTGGAACAGTAAAAGAAACTGCTTTTTGATACCAGCCGCTTGACTACCCAGACGGAATAACCTCTAATTTCCTTTCACATACATATGCATTTGCTGATCCTGGCTAAAAAAAAAAGAAAGAAACTGAATTTATCATTTAGGAAAAGTTCTGGTAGGAATGCTGAGCGATACTCACAGTTCCTTTCAAGGATATCTTTAAAATCAATGGTGTACGAGACCCACCGGCGGGTCAGGAAAGATTCTGTGAACCCCCAAATGCTGATGTTCATGGACCTGGCTCCAGGCTCTGAAGCCAGGCCGGTGAAATAGATGGGCTCCCTGGTGAACACATAGGCCTGCCAGCACTGGCCTTCGTCTGTGGAGAACCTGAAACATCCAGTAGAGAAAGATCTTAAGAGGCCCAGCAGGTGCTGGGACTATCCAACATACTCTGGTTGCCTGATCTTCAGAGAAAACCTCGGACGTAGGTGATGGTTTAAATGGCGGGCAACTTCTTTACTTTTTAATGCCTATGGTTAAATAGCAGTGTTAGGAAAAGGATTGGAGAGGGTGAGAATGGACCTCTCAACTAACAAAATCAAATTCTCCCATAGAAACATGTTTTGGAAGTCATCTCCAACCTACGGTGCTCGGATATTTCCATAATATTTTTGTGGTGAGAAAGAAGAATACTTATTTTTGAGATAGGGTCTCACTATGTAGTTTGGGCTGGCCCTGTGCTCACTTTTGTAGTCCCCAGGCTGATCTCAAACTTGTAGTGATCCTCCTGTCTCAATCTTCTGAGTGCTAGGATTACAGGCGTGTGCCACCATGCCTAGTACAGGGCCAGCACAGTGCATCTGGCACGACATGTGGTCCATGTCACATGGGTCCACAGATCAAACTCAGGACCCTGAGCCTGTCAGGTAGGCGCTTATGTGGCTGAGCTATTTCCCCAGCCCAAGAAAGAACTTTTAAAAATGATAAAATGTGTTAGAATACCAATGCCATTTAATCTGAGTGACTCTAAACTCTAATCCCTTCTAGAATGTTTCCTACAGTTTTGGAGAGTGCAAAATCTGAAGTAGGGTCTGTGACTGCTCTCCCTCAGCGAACTGAGGCACACTCCCACAGCGCCCTCCGTGCGATGCTGCGTGGGGAGCGAGCCGTGCATACTTAATCACATTGGTAGGATGGCTGCTGTGTTCGATGGCCACCAGGATGCCTCCGGAGTCCAGGATGGTGTAGTAGTGGGGTCCTTCTAGCATCTTCATCCAGGAGTAGCCCCCATCGTCTGAGATGTAGACATCGGGGACCATCACCGAGATGGCGTCCCCCACACTCCCTGCAACACAACCCACCATCTCATCAGCACTGAGACACTGGATGTACTGGCAGAAGGATAACTTTTTATTCTTTTTGAGACAGGGTTTTGCTAGTAATCCAGGCTGGCCTGGAACTCACGATGTACCCCAGACTGGACTCAAACTTGCTTCAGCCTCCCAGTGTTGGGATTATAGGTGTGTACTACCACACCTCGCTCTTTTCTCTTTTTTCTTTTTTTTGGAGGGGCCTGCTAGTGTTGAACTCCCTATGTAGCCCAGGCTGGCCTTGAACTTGCAGAGATCCTCCCATCTCAACCTCCTGAGTGCTGGGTTATAGGCGTGTGCCACCATGCCTGGAAAGATGATAATTTTGAATGACTTTTTCTGATTATTCCAATCAGCCCTCCTTTGGAAGACAAACGGGCCACCAAAACTTGGGAAGAGAGAAGTCATGCTGCACTCTCAGATGGGACTCTGAAAATCCCAAAGCATTGCTGTAACGCAAGACAGTGTACCACAGAAACACAACAGTCCTCCGCAGTGGGTTTTGTTTTTTTCAAATTTAGCTATTTATTTATTTATTTATTTATTTATTTATTTTTTGAGGAACCAGGGATTGAACTCAGGCCCTTGAGCTCTTTGTATTATTTTTAATGAGGTTCAAAGGCCATGGCTGAGCTCAGTGTATCAGCTACTGTACTCACGGTGGGAAGAGGAAGGGCTCCTTACCATGAGCGAGGATGATGCCCACAGCGTTAGGCTCAGTGAGTGGCGCCATTGGGACGTTTAGTTTCTGGGAGATGCTATAGGAAGCGTGGATGTGAAGGCTGCACTGTGAAGAGAAACCAAAGGTACGAAGTCCTTATTCATCTCGTGGAGCTGTCCAGGGGTTAAAGCCTTATACTTAATCACGCCTCAGTGGGATCTTTTAATAAAAACTGTGGCCAAATACATATTTTGCAAAATTGACCATCTTAATTTCTCCCACGTACAGCTTTGGAGTGTTACGCATACTCTCACCCTGTGCAGCCAACCTTCAGAGCTTCTGCGTCTTGCACAACTGAACAGCCGCCCTTAAGCAACAACGCCCCACTTGTTCCCCGAAACTCTGGCAACTGCTGTTCCGCTTTCTGATCATTCTAGGTACTTCACAGAACTGAAGCCGCACAGCATTTATCTTTTTGTGCCTGGCTCCTTTTCCTTAGCATAATGTTTTCAAGGCTCATCTGTACAGCAGCTGATGTCAGAATTTCCTTCCTTTGAAGACAAAATGGCCCTCCTGGGTATGCGTACCACGTTAGTAGCCCTCTCACCTGTTGGCGAATACTTCAGCTTCTCTGCCTTTTAGCTATCACGAATAATGTTTCTATACGTACTCAGGTATAGAAGTATCTTTCACAAATATCTTTTTTGGGGGCTGGTGAGATGGCTCAGTGGTCTAAAGCACCCACTTAGAACAAGCTTAGCAAAGCACAGGGACCGCGGTTCAATCCCCCAGTACCACATGCCAGCCAGCCCCGCCCCCTGGTGGGCTGAGCTGGCCA